TGTTGTTTGGTGGGCCCGGGCTGGGGATTCAAACCCGCCACCTTAGGTGTATGTGGCTGGCGCCTTAGCCACTTGAGCCACAGGCGCCGAGCCTATTAGATTTTTTAATGTCCAAAATCCTGATACACCAAAGGTAAACAGCACCATAAAATGCTGATTTACTTTTGTTATACATACAGTCTTAAACTATAAAACAATTTTTGTGCTCTAGAACATTTTAAGACACAAATTTTCCCTTCCTCTCCTCTCATTACACTCAATTCAGAAAGTAACCAGTATTACGGTTTGGAGTACCTTCTGACTTTTTCTGTGTGTGCAGCACGTATACACCCATCCACACACATTTCAAAATTAGTCTTAATAAAAGGCACCAAGTGACTTAAGCATTACACTCACTATATCGTACATATTTTTTCAGCACACAAATATTTCCCTACAGTTTACTGCTTGGTAATTGCCTTAGGAATTTCTAATGCCTGCACAGTGTCAGTAAATAAAACATAACATAAAAAGCCTCTTCACAGTCTAAGGTTATAAGTGGTCTAATGGCTACAAAGTCACATTTTGGAAATTTAAGTCTCTTGCTCTATGTTTCACATCAAAATCAACTTCAAGTTTTACATTCTCCAAAACCTATAAATATATGGCAATGACTGAGACAGGCAAGATCAGCAGAAATATGTAACTAATAAGAAAAAAAGAAAAACTCTAGCTCAGCAGCTAAAACTTTGGCTCTGGGCCTGTTAAACAATGACAACAAGAATAACAAAAAACAGCCAAGCGTTGTGGCAGGCGCCTGTAGTCCTAGCTACTTGGGAGGCTGAGGCAGAAGAATCACATAAGCCCAAAGAGTTTGAGGCTGCTATGAGCTGTGATACCACAGCACTCCACCAAGGGCAACAAACTGAGACTATGTCTCAAAAAAAAAAAAAAAAAAAGAAAGAAAGAAAGAAAAGAAGAAAAACTCCTACGTACATCAACAATAAGTAATAGAAATGGGGGAAATAAGGAAGCAAAAACAAGAGTCTGAATTCATAAATCAAGAGGTACTCAAGAGGGCAAAAGTCCAGAAAAATTATCTTTTTGCAACTTACTTTTGTAGAAATTCTAAACATAAAATAATTTTTTAAACCCATGATCAAAAGCTTAAATTGCTAACATTAAAAATATCTTTAATCAAGAATGATATTATGAATATTAACTTGAAAATGGCATTACTTTTAAAACCTGAAGTTTTAATATGGCTATTTAGGGTTAGTTAGGCACTCTGGGAGGCTGAAGTGGGAAGATTGCTTGAACTTAAGAGTTTGAGAAAAGCCTCAGCAAGACACCCCCATAGCCCCAACAACGGGTGTGTCTATTTTCTAAAAGCAGAAAAATTAGCTGGGTATTGCGGCCAGTGCTTGTAGTCTCAGCTACTCAGAAGGCTGAGGAAGGAGGTTCCCGTGAGCCAGCCTGACAACACGGCACTGTAGCCTGGAGCAACAAAGCGAGACTCTGTATCCTTCCCCCACCCAAAATGGCTATTTTGTTTCATTATTGTAGCTAGCCTTGGTTTTTAAATGTATCACTTCCTTATTTACACAGCCAAACAGTAACTGCAAGAAAGAAAAAAGAAAGTAAAGGAAAAGTTACTCTATTCCACAAGATTTGTACAATAGCTTAAAAGAACTCACTGGAAAACCAAATAAGTATCATTACTTAACACTTCACAGAAGTTTAACATATCATTTACAAAAATGCAACATAATTATTTTGTGAATAAGCAAGTTCCACACATAAAATCACAATGGCTTACAGGGCTTCCTTCAATCACATAATGCTAGATACTATACAAATTAACCCCACCTGAAGACTAGTTCAGGTGCCGCCTTTAAAATGTGTAAGACAACCTCATCTTTCTCTAAATTAACTCTTAACCTTTATTAACCCACACATAATTATCACTCACCTTTCCAAATACTAACTATAAAATGCATGCCCTTTTAAAAAGTCTTAGAAATGGATGAAAATGAGGATCACAATCTCATAATCTTACTTTTGGTTCATTTTCTTCTAGTCATTTATCTACACAGACACACATATAATAATTTTTTTTTCTACCAAATTTGGAACCATAGAAAATAAGTGCCTTTTCCAAACCAGGCTAAACAAGAGCCAGACCCCGGTCTCTACCAAAAATAGAAAATCCACCTGGTCTGGCGGTGGGCACCTTAGTCCCAGCTACAGCTACTCAAGAGGCTGAAGCAGGGAGGAATCCCACCAGTCCAGGCGTTTGAGGCTGCAGTGAGCTACGATGAGGCCACTGCACTCCAGCCAGGGACACAGAGTGAGACCTCGTCTCAAAAAGATAAGAAAGGGGAAAAATACATAAGCACCTTATAACTTTAAAGTGGTTCATTTGAACCTATCATATTTCGAAAATAATAATTCTACCATCACCAATGATGCATAATGGCATTAATTCTTATTAGTTGCAAAATCAATCTTTTCTCCTCACGTACTGTTTGTGAGGTTTAAAAGGGTAGTCCTCACTTCCTATGACATCCTCCTGGTGTAGGAAGATGAACATAGGCATGGTTAAAAAAAAAAAAAGACCTTGGTTTCAAGTCTTGATGCTGTGAATTATCATGACTGTGACTTTGTGTAAAGTATATTTGCTCAGATGAAAACGGAAATACAGTAATTGCACCTACCAAATAGGACTGTTTTGAGGATTACATAAAACGATGTAAAGGGAGCATCCGATGCCCGGCACACAGAACTGCACAAATATTCTTTCCTTCCCGTTATAAAAAAAATAGCGTGAATACGACACAACTGCAAACAGCATGACGTATACACATAAATGCATAAGTGAAAAAGGTGTTATTTTCCAGCTTTTACTCACTTGTAATGTAATTATTCCACAGCCCACGTACACATGGCGACAACTCAGGGTATCGCTGCGCCACAAATTTTATCTCCGGAAAAGAAGTCTTTTAAGTACATTGTACGTATATGTGGCTGCCTAAACTCAGAGCTATCAGGAAGGAAGGATGCAGAATATTTCTCTTGTGAAAATAAATATACCACGAGTTAAAACCCCGCCGGTTGAGAATTTCCTTTAAAGCAGATGAAAAGAAAAGTAGAGAGAGAAAGAAAGAGAAAAGGAGCGAGAGAGAGAAATTAAGAAAGAAAAAAGGCAGGCAGGCAGGCAGGCCGGCTGGCCGCAGCTCTAGACTTTTCCTCTCTCCCTCCCAAAGACAAAGTCCAGGAATGAAAACAAGTAATTCTTTACAGGTATGTACTGGGAAGGCCAAGGACACGCACGAGTACACAGGGGACAGGGTAAGTTAGAAACTGCTGCTTGCGTAGGTCCGGACGCCCGGGATCCTGAGACTTAAGCTAATACCCGGTCCTCCTCCAGACTCCGGGATGCGACAGAGGGAGGCCAGGGTCAGCGGCGTGCCAAAGTCACCGAGGAGAAAAAAACAATGGGAGGGGGTGGCGGCGAAACGCTGGGACCCGGGCCCTGGCGAAGCTTCGCCCGTGGGAAAGCAAAATAGTTGGAGAACTAAACAAAATGAGGAAATCCCGGGTGCCAAGCGGGGAGGGATGGGGGGCCGTGAGAAACAGGCTGCGGCGGAAATGCAGAGGCGGTGTCGGCGGAGGGAAGGGGCGACCGGGGGAGCCGGGACCTGGATGTGCGCCGGGGAGGAGCCCGGAGGCCCCGGGGGTCGGCGAGTCGCAGGACCAGGAGGCGGCGACAGGGGCTCGGGGCTGCGCGGTACCTGCAGAGATCGTCCAGGACGCTGCCGGGAATCTCCACCCGTTTGGTCTCCATGATGAGAGCCCGCAGCAGGAGCAGTGCATCCCGGCTCCGCGTGGCCGGGGACCGAGGTACGGCACGGGGACTCCGGCTCGCCGGAGAGCGCGCGGCGCAGGCGGCAGCGGCGACTCGAACCAGGACCAGCAGGGGAAGGGGCGGGACCCGCTCACTTCCGTCCTGCTCCCTCAACCCTGGACCCCGAGACTGGGCCAAGGTGTTGGGCGGAACCCCAGCAGCCACGCCCCTGCTCTACTTGAAAAGTCCAATGGGAAGCTGAAGGGTTGGGAGCATGCGCTCGCTAAACCAATGAGACGTTTGTTTATTGGTCCTCCGTTTCCAGCCCGTCTTCGAGCTGCTCAGTAGCGGCTCAGAAAACCAACTTCCCGCCGCTGCTGCTGAAGCCTGGGTGGGTATGCACATGCGTATCACGACTGCTTTGCGCCACTGGCTTTGGAAGGCTCGGGTCTTCTCTGCTGAGCAGGAGACCAACATCCGGGAATTTGGCACTGCCCTTCCCGGGACAGACCTTGAAGACCCGTTAAACATAAGCGGACATTTATGACTCCTGTAACCAAATAACCTGCAGCCCTCACTCCCCCCACCATGTCTAGGCCAAGAATTGTCCCTTTCACTACAAACCCCTGAAAAAGGTATTCATTTTCCTGCTGCTTCCCAGGCACCTAGTTGCAAGTATGAAGGCAAGGGCTTTATCCCTCTATCTGGCACCTGTAAGGTCTCAAAATATTAATTGAACCTGAACTCGTTATCCTCATTCTGCCTCCTACGCACACTAACTCCCACCTTTTCATCATCATCTGTTCCTCATGTTGCTTAATGGAGTCCGAGCCATTTTTAGGATCCTTGGAGAAACTGTATCCATCTATTCTTTTACATCAGACACAGAAGAAGGTACATGCACGGCCTGCTCAATCTGGAGTTTAGTCTGTTTTACTATTTAATCTCCCGTCTTTTCTCTTAATTTATGTCTAAATACCACTCTCTTTACTTCGCTTTTCATTATGTCTCCACACTACTGCAAGAGCGGCCTAACCAGTGCCTCTGCCTCTATTCTTGGCCTGTACAACTACCTGTTTTGATTTATTCAGATTTGAACAGGTTACTATCTTTTCAGCTCCTGCCAGACTCCATTGGCATGATGTAAGACCCCCATCACTATCTGTTTTAGGCCCCTATTTTCCATCTTGGGCTTTTTCTCCTTGGAGAATTTCTCAAATTTATCTTCCTGCCATGTATAGAGCTTTTGAGAGAGGATACCCAAGAAGGGTGAGGTCCAAGAGAACAGGTCTTCTCTGCGGGGTCATCTCCACGGTGACTCAGCTCTTCAGAATTTATAGACTTAACTTCCTGGGACCTGGAAATTTCCCCTTCTGTGAAATCCTGAAGTTCTGTGGGGGCTGGCTTAGCATCTCCTGCTTGATTCAAACTGACCAACGAGAAAGGTACCTGTGGGATGGAACTTTTTGACTGGAGATGAGAGGAAGACCAAGCCAGTCTGGGAGCCTGGCCATTTCAAATTCTCTTATGCCATAAGCTCCGCTGGCTGAAATAAAACCCTTCCTCTTACAAACATGGTGTTTGGGTGCCCTTTCTCTCCACTGGGCCTTGTCTTCCTGCAACACTTTTCCTTTTCTGGGGTTCTTTTTTTTCTTCACATGTCCATTTCTTATGGCACACTGTTCTTGCTTTATAGATATAGTTTATCCCCCTGAGGATGTTAATAACAGATTTTGAAATTTTCTTCTTCCTGAAGGGTCTCTTACTGCTCTCACCAGCTTTTTGCTATTAAATCAGTCTCCATCTATCACATTTGAAATTTTCTGTGGTTCTTGACCAGGGGTCCTCAAACTTTTTAAACAGTGGACCAGTTCACTGTCCCTCAGACCGTTGGAGGGCCAGACTGCAGGCCCCAGGACGAGTAGGCTGCTAAGCAGGACAGGCAGCAGCAGCAAAAACACCTGGCCAGCTGGATAAATGTCCTAGGCAGGCTGCATGTGGCCGGCAGGCCATAGTTTGAGGATGCCTGTTCTGGACAGTTCACTCATGCTTCACAGGAAAACGTTAAGAACTTGGAGTCAACTGCTCTGAAAGCTGATTGGAAGTTGTCTGCTTGTGGGAGGACTTGTTCCCTGAGAACTTCATTGTTGGAGGATCTGGCTGAGTTGTTGGTTAAAAACACATGGCATCCATCTCTGTAGATCATTATTTTTTACTGGTCAAATTCCCTAAAGAGAAAAATGCTTTAGGCACAGCTAGGAGTATTCTGAGGGTTAAGTGCTGAAGCACAGACTGGTGTATTCCATTTGCTTTATTCAAGACTCTCTGGCACAGTATAGGTCTTAGTTTATGTTTTCTAAGAATCAGGCCCTGAGACTAGGATTGGAGTGCAAGTAGTCTATGAGAGAGGCGATCCTCGGAAACACATGTACAAGAGCTGGGAAGTGAGTCAAGGAAGGGAAGAAAGGCAATAAAGATTTATTGTCAAAGAAGTCAGCCTCGTAGTTAAGGGGCCCTTCACCCCACTGGAGAACTTTGGAGGCCAGTGTGAAATACACGTCTCAGTGTCAAACACATCCCCTCAGGGTGTGAGGGGTGGGGATTTACATACCAAGTTCCATCCTTAGTCACTGGTTGAGGGCTGCTTCTAGGACCTACACCCCAGCCTGAGGTAGGTGAGCTCTGGTAGCCTGAAAAAGCCCTCAGGCAAGGAAATGCTGGTGCTGGTGGGTGGACGTCCAGCCGGTAGAGTGAGTGGACGGTAAAGGGCAGGGCAAGTCCCTTCAGTACTTCTATTTTGCTGGATATTAATTTTCTCTCTTCCAAATGAAGGGTTTTTGTCTGACTTGAGGACACCTTAGTGGATTCCTCAGTTGTCCCACTTGCAGCTCAAGTCTGGTTTTAGCGTGCTCTACGTGATGGCAGTGTAACAGTGGTCAAGGCCAGGTGGTGCTTACTCCCTGGGCCGACGGTACAGGAACAAGCAGGTTACCAGGCAGCTGCTGAAGCTCCTGGAGGAGGTCTTCTGACTACTTGTATAGTCCCCCATTTCAGGCATAGCTATACAACTCCTTTTTGGCTTTTAGGAGCCAGCAAGTCCCCAAATTCTCACACAGTGCTAAACCAAACTGCCCCATTAAGAGTTTCAGACATGGGGTAGTGCCTGTGGCTCAAAAGAGTAGGGTGCAGGCTCCATATGCCAGAGGTGGTGGGTTCAAACCCAGCCCCAGCCAAAAAAAAAAGAGTTTCAGACATGTCTAATGCTCAAGCATCTTCCAAGCTACTTTCCTGCCCACCCCCCATCTCTCCCCTCCCTCTTCACACACCGATTTTCAGAAGCTGGATTGATCATCATTTAATACCCCTTCTAGCAGTCCTCTGAGCCATGACTTGCAAAGAATCCAAGGCCTCATTCCCATCCACCTGTTTACAGGCCTCAGCAACCTTTGGCTTAAGAAAGGTAAATAAATTGGACTTCAGAGTCGAGGGAACAGGAGATGCTAGGGTTCTTAGATTATATACTGATCTGATTTTTAAGTAACTGGGTTGATACAACCTTTATAATTTTAAAATACACTATCTTAGTTAGCCTTTATAACCATGTGAAATAGGCCAGTAGAGACTAATGAGGCTTATAAAGATTAAATGACTCATAAAGATTAAATAATTAAGTGACAGTATGTAATGCAGCCAGGACTAGAATTCAGTTCCAATACTCATGGCAGGAATTCTGCTTTAGGGAGAATGACACAGTAAGAATAATTAATAACGTCTGTACAGCATTTTAGAGAATAAAATTCTTTTCAAGTATAATAATCCTCACAACAAAACAAGCTGTCATCAAATCCTAAAAAATGTTTAACTTCCTTATCAGCCTCCTTTGTAAACTGAGTGAGGTTAAATTAAGACTGTTGGGGCAGCACCTAAGGCTCAAAAGGGTAGGGCGCCGGCCCAATATGCCAGAGGTGGTGGGTTCAAACCCAGCCCCGGCCAAAAAAATAAAATAAAATTAAGACTGTCAAAGTTTTCTTGCATCATTACAAAGTTCTTATGGTTCAACTCAGCACTTACTGAGCAACACATACTTGCCCATTAGCATTACTCTCTGTTTCTAACTCATTCCGTCAGCCCTACTCCCTGTTTCTACTGAATCATCTCCCATAGCATAAATGTGGGTAAAATGCTTTTGTCACATCTACCAAAAAACAGAAACAAAAGGCCCTTTTGAGCTCTACGGCAGAGGCTTACTAGATGGCTGACCACTTTTCTTTCCTTTTCCTGAGTTCACAGGCTCCCTTGAATTTCGATGGAACCAGGTAACTGAGTTCTGGCCAAAGATGATGATAAAAGCAATGTACCGCCAGATTCCAAGCATGGCTCTGAAAGGCCCTATATAATTTCTGTGTTCTCTCTTCCTTCTCTTCCCAACTGAAAGCAAAAGACTCCAGATGGAGGAGCCGTGCTATAGAGAGAGCACAGATCCCCGAGTTTACAGCCCAGAGGGTAGCTACCCTAGAGCATTTACTCCAGAAGCTACATGAGCAAGAAATAAACTGCTGCTGCATAAAGCCTCATGACATTTTTACACACCAGCTCTTCTCCAGAATCAGTCTTCCCCATTTCAGTAAATGTATCCCATAATGGATACTCTCGTTCGCCTTACCCAGCGTGCATTCACACATTCATGGGTATGTGTGTAAACTGTACAATTGCACAGGGCCCTGCTGCATTCAGAAAAAAGACCTCACATTTGATTTAATGCCCTATCACTACCTTGAAATTCTTTTTTTTTTTTAGACAGAGTCCCACTATGTGGTCCTTAGTAGAGTGCCGTGGCATCGCAGCTCACAGCAACCTCAAACTCTTGGGCTCAAGAGATTTTCTTGCCTCAGCCTCCCTAGTAGCTGGGACTACAGGCACCTGCCACAATGCCCTACTATTTTTTGTTTAGCCTGCTCCAGCTGGGTTTGAACCCACCAGCTCCAGTGCATGTGGCCAGTGCCCTAACGGCTGAGCTATGGCACCAAGCCACCTTGAAATTCATAATAATTTTATTATTGAACTTGTGTTTTGTAAGTGGAGTTGGGACAAAGGAGCATGTGCAGGAGCAGAGGTGATACATGAAATATGCCCGTCTTCCCGCTCCTTGCTGCCCGATTGGCTTATAGCATTTGAAATGTCCTAT